GACTCCGGGTCTCTAATGATCACTCTTGTCTTTCACTGTCCATTGAGTCAAGAACACAATCTCAGCTTCCACTGTATGAGTCATAGATTTCAAACATACTTGGTTAATATACAAGCAAGCCAGACCGCATCACACCATAGAATAATGTATAACAAATATACAAGATCAATCCGAAAGTGTCTGTGAGTGTGAGAGTCTGTAACTGATAGATTGGAAACGATCTAAGAATAAAAAATCGTATAATAGTACTCAACAGGTCAAATGAAAGCTTATAATGAAAGCTATACACGTCGAGCATTATTTTCTGACGCTGATATCGGTTGAAAAAAGCCGAGGGGTAGTCAGTGTATGACGTGGTTTCGTTATATGAAATTAAGCTTTACCGGACTGGCTTCTGTTGGTCTTTCACGACTTTGTGGTCGGGGTCCGACGAGTGGTACAACACATTGGCTAGAGAGACTACCACACATGGATCGGAATAGAAGCCAGTGGCGATCCTGCTATAACTAACTTCCAACTTCTTAGTAAAAGCGAACATAACTAATATGACTGAAGGAATTTTCACTGTTTTTATATTTACTGACTGAACTACTAACTAACTATTATTCAGAAATTAAACAATATGATCTATTGTTTTGTTGCTGTCTGACCAAATTAATCAGTTAATGCCAAAAGCTTAAGTCACATTTATAATTATGTTGTATCTTTTTGAAAGTTTATTATATTAATACTGTTATTCATTATGTGTAACTGAAATGATAATTATTCATCATATAATTAACCTCTGTGAAAGTATTTGTTTACCATATTGTTAGATTATTGTAGGCAGTTTTTAACTTTCTTTTCTTCAGTTGGTATTATTTCAAAGGAAATATAGGTTGAAGAATGTAGCATTTTTGACAAACACCTAGATTTAATTAACCGACATGCCATTTATTTTAAATTAGTTCTTAGTTAGACAAATGTGAGTAGAAGTGCTGCTTTTTAAGTTTATCTATTCAGATAACAAGAGATTTTCAAATTGTGGTAGTTAGGGGTATGTAAAATTATATAGACAGTAGACGAAGTGGATGCCAATAATTGGTCATTAACAACTATGATATTCGCATTACGTTTACTTTGATTATTTATATATGACAAAGAAATACTACAGACACGAGACATAGCTTGTTTTTTTAATCTCATAGAAAAGTTACATTTGATTTACAATACTTACTACTGATGCATAACATTTTATTAAAAAAACAAGCTTTCAGTCACTGTTGTGCATAATTAAAAATGGTCATTTGTGTTTCATCCGAACAACCAGCACAGCATCGTTTAAATGGAAATCTGGATTTTTGTGTGTCTTTTATATTCAACGTCGAAGTTTATTTTAATTTATGAGAGACTCTGCACATTATGAAGTTTCCATGTTGTCTGAAATAGATTAAATTGTTTGAAAATAAATAACACTGTCTAGAACAGTCTTCCCAGTGTTGTAGCAACGTGTTTCATGTTTAGTGGCCCAAAATCCGACTCCAGGTAGGTAGTATGATTGATTGTTATTGAAATATACATACCGCTAATTCTCGCATATGGTCATAGACGGTTGTGTGTGTTTGTATCAGTGGTATACACCACAATAAATCAATGAAGGTTCTGTGTATGTTTGGATGTCATTCCCGCAATAGTTCCCTGTCATGTTATTCTCCAACCGCATGGCATTTAAACACAAAATCCAGCCTCTGTAGACCTACAAATATCACGTGACTGAATCACCAGATGGAACACTGGCTTCTGTGACCTTGATCCTCTGTCAAAACTAATGACGTGTTAACCAGTACGAGCAGCCTAGAGTCCTTTATGGATCTCTAGTGATCACTCTTGTCTTTCACTGTCCATTGAGTCAAGAACACAATCTCAGCTTCCACTGTATGAGTCATAGATTTCAAACATACTTGGTTAATATACAAGCAAGCCAGACCGCATCACACCATAGAATAATGTATAACAAATATACAAGATCAATCCGAAAGTGTCTGTGAGTGTGAGAGTCTGTAACTGATAGATTGGGAATGATTTTGTGTCATTAGTCAGTTCTATGAAGTGATCACTCCAATATACTGGTAAGTGTACTGTCATTACTTTCAGTATGTAATTTATGCTTTCGTCTAGTATATTTTGGAATATTACCATAAGTGATCTACTTCTTACTTATGCACTTGGAATGCGTTAAATTGACTTCATAGTCGGGAAGATTACCAACTTACGAGCGTCATTATGATACGTGAGGATTCGATAGTTGGCTTGTGATAATTAGAAGTATTTGAATAATTATACTAACTAGAAATTCCAGCAATAACTAAATTCAAGCCACAATAAACTAACTGATATTAAGTACAAAAGAATCATTGGTTCATGCAAGCACCACATCCTCCACAGCTTTCATTGCTTTCTACGTTTGTCTAGTCGATTGAACATCTCCTTAGATTCATCATGTGTCTTTCCGACTGTATATTGGATGTATATTGTGCATGATCCAGAATATACTCACTAGTATTAGAAGTAACAACCTAAATCACGAAGGACTCATCTAGGTCCTGGAATTGTTTACAATAACCATGTGGGTTGTGTACTGAAACCACTGATATCTAGAATTTCAGCCATAGACGTTCCAACACAATCCTCCTTTAAGAAATAATTTTGGATCTTCGAATCCTCGAGTTATGAATATTATAGCTTTATTTAAAACACATTTCTCACATTGACTAGAGTACTCATTATAAGTGACTTCATGATAAGGATGAACAAGAATTGATATCAAATCATTCAAATTGTAATCAAAATTGAGCTCATTTAGTACTCGTGCTTCGTATTGAACAAGTTTGCCGCAAGAAACAAATACATTATGAGAACAAATAACATTTGATATCACATCAGAATTCCATTTGCCTGAAGTATTTTCCCAAAATTCACTAAGAAATACATTTTGAGGTGGTAGAGAACATTTGTAGCTCAGGTGGATGATTTCGAAGGAGTTTTATTCTCTGAGCTGGATGGTTTGGCCATGGAGCATTCATCGTTCTTCTGAACGACGTCATCAGCACAAACGTTTATTGGAAGAATTTCAATGGAGAATAGTGGGTCATTATTACAATCAGCATCTATCAAAACTGCACCAGATTTTCGATCTTGATCTGATTTGTTAAAATTATTTTCTTCAGACTTTTAAGAAATTACATTAGAAATAGGTAAATATTTGGGCCAAACTATATTTGGTACAATAACATGAGAAATCTGATATGAAGATGATTGACTAGGAGCTTTTGTATCACAAGGATTATAAGTCCCATTCAATTCTGGACTGCTATATGACTCGATACTGTTCTTCGGAATCGTGGATAAAGATGAATAATCACTGAAAGCCCTTAACTTAATACGACCGGGATCACAAAGTTTGGTATTACTTGCAGTGAAATAAACAGTAGTATTACAAACTGACTGAATTTGTTTAATTTTACCACATTTAAAACACTCAGCATTACGAAATACACATGAATTACATGAGTGAAATTTGCATCAGTTAACATTTACCAATCTTGTGCTCATCTTCGTGGCCTGCTTCGAAACTTTTCAATGAATTATTACATGAATAATCTTGAGTACTCATTGCATTGGACTGACATGGTAATGTATTGACAAATTGTTTTATGAAACTTTCATCCTTCACAGCATTCGACAATTGTACACTTAACACATTCTATTAGTAGTTCCTTGAGAGTTGAGTCGGAAATCGACATGAGGTTTTCTGGAACTATCAGAGTTTTTAATAAGCTGCATGCTTCTTTTCCGATGAATGTAGGGAAATAAGCCAAAATATTAACATCCTCAACATCTCCCTTGGTAATAGTCCATATTTCGATCCTTTCCATGCAATCCTCAAAAGCATCAAAAACTGAATAATTATCAAACTGTTCCATCACAAGCACCATTATGACGCTGATATAATAATGGGGAGCATATGAATTATCGTACGAGCTAGGAATTACCGAAATAACGTAATTCGAGACACAAAAAACTAGGTGAGCACAAAAAAGCGTATCGCATTTTGAATTCGAAACCAGATAGACATCAAGTACAAAAGAATTATTAGTTCATATAAACATCACATTGACGTCATAAGTTTACATGGAATTCTCAGACGTAATTATATAAATAAATCAACTACATTTATGATCTTTCACTGCTGCAATATTCACTAATATCTAACCTTATTTTCAGCAACGTTTTACATCAAAAGCAGTATTTAGAGCATAAAAATATCAATTTACTTAGTTCTGATAAGTAGATTGATAAAACTAGCAATGAGAATCAACAATTTAACATAGTGTGCTTAGTACAACAGCAATTAAACTAACCTATTAAAGTTTAGAATAATGGATACAATCCGAACCATGTGAATGGTTGAAGTCTACAATTGACACATATTTGTTAGATAATCCAAAAATAAGCCAATGAGAAATCAGTACATGACAAAATGTTAAAACGTTTTCGTTTGTGAAACAGTATTTAAATGAACCAAATCAAACGACAAAAGTTGTAGACCTCGTAAGACAAAAATATGCTTCCTACTGTCTTATCGACAGTTCCAAAATCCTTACTGTTTTTCATAGCAGTCATACTATCACAGTATAAAATTCAGTGTAAATCGTCATTATTGAATGTAACAGATCCTGAAACTTGGAAGAGGTTGGCAGTTGAGAGATTTAATAAATTTGAACAATCATTATATTACTTATCACTCAAACGACCAAAAAATGTCATCTTATTTATTGGTGATGGTATGAGCTTGAACACTGTTACTGGAGCAAGATATTTGAAAGCGGAGAAGATGGATCTTTTAGGTGGTGATGTACAACTAGTGTGGGAGAACTGGCCTGTTGCATCACTTGTCCGTACATTCAACTCAGATAGACTGACAACAGATTCAGGTTCTGCGGCAACTGCTTTTATGTCAGGTAAGTCGTAAGGTGAACTACTAATGTTTTTTTATGAGAAAACTACTGCTTCATTGTCATATTTTGACTAAACATGTCCTGTGTGATAAAAATCGGGAGGTTCCGTTGATCATAGAACAATGTTTATATTTGAAGATAGTGAAGATAAATACACTTGAAATGATTTGTGGCTCACTATTCTGTAGGTAGTCTCGTTTATCAAATTGCTTCTGTAATTCTTCTGCAGAATAGATAAATGTATAATTAGTTTCACTTACAAGTGAGATTAATTTACTTTATGGAAGATGTTATTTTGGTCCACGTAGGTGTGATACAGATCGATTTTGATGTTTCTGATCAGTATTCAATTATCCCATATCTACTAATGAAGTTCTCACTCCATTGAGTACTTATATTGATCAGAATTTCTCATAATTTTATAATCTGGAGAAAGCCAATTGCAGTAGAGATAAAAAATCATCTCCACTTCTTGGTTTATCTTATTATGAGCTTTGTTAGAGTTCATATGTGAGGTTAAGCCATATAGAGCCAATTAGGTAGAAAATTGATTAGTTATCAATTATTAGTAATTATCACACCAAATTGATTGAAATCAGTAACCGAAAACCATTAACTCACATCTGAGTGATTCAATAATGTTACTCTCCATGTGATAAAACAAAAGCTTTGTATTCGATCATGAATTCATGAGCTAAATTAAGACAACTAACCAGTGGACAGTGATACTTCTTCTACAGTGTTTCCCGTTTGATATTTGTCAATAATGGAAAATATGCTAGACTAAAACTTTCGAAATACTGAATACTCTAAATAATGTGTTTTATTCGGTCGAAGAATCGAATCAAAGTTCATTTCACACAAAGAACATGTTTTGAAGTGTACACATTAAGACTTCGGAAGGTTAGGTGTCAAATACAGTTTTCATAGTTCACGGACACAAGTCGAAGGAATGTTGATTTAACTTGAGTTGTAATTATAAGGTGCTAGTCTATGAGTAGATCATTATACTATCAAAGATGAATAGATTTATTATGATGAGATGTATGCAAAATCGCACACTTAACAATTTAGTTTTCTGTCGTTATTTGATGTGTAACTTTTGCTGCATATTCTGCTGATTTTAACTCATTTTAAGGTGTTAAAGGGCCTCACAAATCTATCGGTGTCACGGGAACAGTGAAGTGCTGTGAATGTACTGAGTTAAAAGAAATGGAAAGAGCGAAATCTTCTCTCATGTATGCCTCTAAAGCAGGATTTTCCACTGGAATAGTTACAACTACGAGAGTAACTCATGCAACACCCGCAGCAGCATATGCCAATATATTACATCGAGATTGGGAGTCGGTAGGGTAAGTGCAAATTATCTTAGACAATGACTATGTTTATATATAGTTTTATAGTGATAAAGATTTTATTGTAATCAAATCCATTCACAGTTATTATTTTGTGTGATTTGTCTGAGTACTACAAACTAAGAAGCATTAATGTTAGAAAATGGTTTTTCGTAATACACTATGAATGTAATATCTAAGAATGGTGAGATTAAGTATTCCTTAAAAATTGATAGTGTAGTATCTATGGTAGTATCTATATATCATAAAGTTTATTTGTGTCCAGAAGTGATCTGTTTCATATCACTCAAAACGAATTATAAAGCTGAAGTGAAATTCAATATTCATCCGGAAGCTATCAAACATTTATCCATTAAATTGCTTTATTGTTACCTTATGTCAGACTGCTCTGATCCTAAATAAAATAACCTTCCTATTGATGACTTTCTTATTTGGGCTCCGCACAGTCATGAATAGATAGGTTTGAATCAACCGTTCACCTGTTTCGGCCAATAAAATGATAGTGCCATTATCATTTCTACACAAAAATTCTTGGTTCAAAATAGAGAGCAAGAACTTGGGTTTTATGAATGAGTTTATAATAGGTCCTCTTCGTAAATGTCAAGGGAATCTGTTTTGATTACTTTATCGTCCATGTGATCGACTGCCTCCACCCACGTTACAGATAAATAAATTAAAACACCAATAATTCGTTAATCATCTATAAAAATTGACTTGTTTATTTAGCTGCACACGAAATTCCAAAATGGATTGCAGTATAAATATGCTACGATTGATTACAAAATATTCGGCATAAATAAATCACCCGGTGATAATCACAATAATATACTCAATGTCCACGAAGTGCATTAGTTTACCAACACAGTGCAATATGAGCCTAAAACAAGGTGTCATGAATAAATTGCCAACTTATTCACGAATACGTATAAGAGCATACCCACATTAATTTATTTATTCAGCTTACTGTTTGAATAGAAATTGCAACCGGTCTTAGTTTTGACAAAATGTGTAGACGCATGGCCCTGCGAGAGCATTATCATGATCACTGACGCTTATTTCTCCTCTCACTCAGACCATCAAACGAGCATGGATTCCACTGCGTAGACACTGCTACACAACTACTGACGAACGCTTCTCACGTCAACGTCATAATGGGAGGAGGGGCAGCAGAATTCTATGGTCCGTCAGACAATACCACCTTCAACATGAAAGGGAAACGCTCTGATTCACGCAACCTTTTACTTGAATGGCAGGCTATGCAGACCAAAATGAATCGCAAACATGTTCTCTTACATACAAACGATGAGTTTAAACGAACCGACTGGTCTTTGGTTGACTACGTTTTGGGTAGGTTCTTTGATTCATACGTTTCGCTACATATGTTTTCGTGAGTCAGTAACTAGTAAACAACTTTCAGTCTTTATTTATTTTTCAAAATGAAGCTGCCTGAAGCGTTATCGATTGCACGTTCAGTGGCCGTATGCATAGATCAAAGTTAAAATGGAAATCATTTTGTGCATCCCGTGATAATTTGACTACTGGCCACCAGCTGAAATTTGTCGTTTCCTATAAATAATTTATTGACATTTGTCTGATGCTTTATGTTTAATGGTTTTCATAAATATGTTTTGTGATGGCTTGATTATGTGGACAAGCAGTCAATGACAACTGGATGTTAACACTGTGGATATATGAATTTGACTGGAATTAAATAGTCTGTAACTTGTAAACAACTTTCTGTCTTTATTTATTTTTCAAAATGAAGCTGCCTGAAGCGTTATCGATTGCACGTGCAGTGTGTTGATTGGACTAAAGTGTGTTGAGTTAATGACACTATCATTCATTTTATGGCATTTCATTCAGATATAATATTACACATTGATTTTCAGGTTTGTTTTCTCCGAGTCATTTGGCTTATCAACTGGAAAATCAAGACCAACCAAGTTTAGCAGAAATGACAGAAGCTGCTATCAAAGTACTTTCTCGTAATCCTAAAGGATTTCTTTTGTTAGTGGAAGGAGGTAGGATTGATCATGGGAATCACGAAAATCGAGCACAGTAAGAAACTGTTATTATAATTGCAACTATTTCCACTATTGAAACTAATGACACTGTCATAGTACTTCTGGTATTTGGTGTCGAACTAAACTGATGTCGATTATTCCTTATTGTTGTTTATTAAAGTTTTCGACACATGTAGTTTTGATTTTAAGTGGATTGATGATACGATTAATTTTCCAGATTTTTACTGATTACAGATATGCGTTAACTGAAACTTTGGAGCTCGAAAAAGCCGTAGAGAAAGCATTGTCACTTGTTGATCAACAAGAAACCTTACTGCTAGTCACAGCTGACCATTCTCATTCATATGGGGTGATCGGCTATCCGACAAGGAACACAAGTGTGCTAGATGTGGATAATACTGCAAAAGTAAGTGTTTATTCTGTTCTATTTTTAAGTAGTTTAGTAAAACGTAAACGGTTTATTGTGGTGCTCCTTCCTTTGATATATATTCCTCACGAGATCCACTTTCAAAAACGATTTATTGAGCATCGAAATGTTTTTAACAGAATATTAGGGAGGCAAACGAAAGATTGACTACTTCGTCGTCACTAACATATTTTATCAACGAATTCGACAACACATTCTAGTCATTTAGCATGATTGACTGGTCATTGAATAACTCACTTACATAGTTTATCTGAGTTATCCTAAGCAGATGAAAGAGTCGGTCGGATAACCATTGATTGCCTCTTTAAAGTAGTTGAAATGGGTTGAAAGTGAACTCCATGTGAACTGAGAGCACAGTAAAACAAATGCAATTGTTTGTAAAACAAATCAATTCTTAAACTACTTCATTCATTTGACTTTAAGTGCAGTTTTAGGCACACCGATTCAAAGTTTGCACTGCTCACCAGCTGCGATAATTGAGAGTTTGTCGAATTAATGGTACCAGTGAATACGCGTAAATGGTGAAATCAATGAACTCGTATAAAATATGGACAACAATTCAAGCATAATAACATGAGTTCATTACATTATAGCGATCTCACCTTCAATTGAGCTTGTATACGTTTATGTTTATTGTGCCTTCTGAATAACTCACTTAATAGGCAGTGTCACTTGTGTCGGTAACTATTTAGTTACTTACTTACTTACTTACTTACTTACTTACTTACATACATACTTACTTACGCCTGTTACTCCTCGCAAAGGAGCATAGGCCGCTCACCAGTGTTCTCCATCCAACCCTATCCCGAGCAATTCTTTCCAGCTCTTTCCACTTCTTATTCATCCTTTTCATATCCGCTTCTATTTCTCGACGTAATGTGTACTTTGGCCTTCCACTTTTTCGCTTCCCTTCAGGATTCCAAGTTAGCGCTTGCCTCGTGATGCAGTTTGATGATTTGTGTAATGTATGTCTTATCCATTTCCATCGTCTTTTCCTAATTTCCTCTTCAGCTGGAAGTTGGTTTGTTCTCTCCCACAAAAGGCTGTTGCTGATGGTATCCGGTCAATGAATGTCGAGTATCTTGCTTAGACAGCTATTGATAAATACCTGTACCTTCTTGATGATGGTTGTTGTGGTTCTCCAAGTTTCAGCTCCGTACAGTGGAACTACCTTGACGTTGGTATTAAAGATTCTGACTTCGATATTGGTTGAAAATTGTTTTGAGTTCCATATGTTCTTCAGTTGAAGGAATGCGACGCTTGCTTTTCCAATACTCGCCTTTACGTCTCCATCTGAACCTCCTTGTTCATCGATGATGCTTCCCATGTATGTGAAAGATTCCACATTTTCCAGAGTTTCGCCATCAAGAGTGATTGTACTGCTGCTCTCCGTGTTGTGTTTGAGGACCTTGGTTTTCCCTTTGTGTATTTTGAGGCCTACTGATGCAGAGACTGCTGCTATGCTGGCTGTCTTTGTCTGCATTTGTTCGTGCGTATTGGATAGGAGAGCCAGGTCATCTGCGAAGTCCAAATCGTCATACTGGTTCTGAGCTGTCCATTGTATGCCGTGTTTCCCGTCAGATGTCGAGGTTTTCATGATCCAGATGACCACCAGAAGAAAGAGGAAGGGGAAAAGTATGCAGTCTTGTTTTATTCCGGTCCTTACTTGGAATGCGTCTGTCAGCTGTCCTCCATGCACTACTTTGCAGTGTAGTCCGTCGTATGAGTTCCGCATAATGTTGACAATCTTCTCAGGGACTCCGTAGTGTCGAGGAAGTTTCCATTACGTTCTTCAATCTACACTGTCAAATGTCTTTTCATAATCAATGAAGTTGATATATAATGACGAGTTTCACTCAATTGATTGTTCGACGAATACCCGTAGTGTCGAAATTTGATCTGTGCACTACCGATCCCTACGGAATTCAACCTGTTGATCTCAAAGTTGGGCGTCTACTCAGTCTTTCACTCGGTTCAGCAAAACTCTGTTAAAAACTTTCCCTGGTACTGGCAGTAACGTGATGTTTCTGTAGTTTTTACATTTGCTCAGATCTCTTTTCTTTAGAATCTCGATAAAGTGTCCTTCTTCTCAATCCATCGGCACTTGTTCCCCCTCCCAAATCTTTTTGAATTGAAGGTGAAGCATGTTTTAGCTACTTTGATGTCTGACTTCAGTGCTTCAGTTAATATATTATCGGGTCCTGCTGCCTGCCCGCTCTTGATTTGTCTGATGGCCATTCTGATTTCTTCGGTCGTTGGTGGATTGACATCTATAGGAATGTCTGTGTGTGCTGCTTTGATGTCCGTTGGATTCATTGGAGGCGGCCTATTCAGTAGTTCCTCGAAGTACTGTGCCCGTCTGTTCCGCTGTTGTCGAATTTCAGTGACTGGTCTTCCTTCTTTGTCTTTGACTGACCTCTCTGACTTACCATATCTCCCTGCTAGTTTCTTCGTTGTATCGTAAAGCTGTCTCATATTTCCATGGTATCTTCATATCCGGTGTTGTTTATTCCGACTTTGGCGCTTAGATCACCCATCAGAATGGTGAGGTCCTTTCTTGGGCACTACTCTATGATTGATTGCAACCTCTCATAGAATTGATCTTTAACGTCGTCATTGCTATCATTGGTAGGTGCATATCATTGGATTATGTTCGTTGTAATCCCTCCTTCTCTGTTTTGAATAATGCTTTGATGATTCCGGATCCGTTAGATTCCCATCCTACAAGTGCATTTTGTGCTACTTTGGACAACATTAGAGCAACTCCCTAAGTGTGGGGAGCAGTTTCCTCTTCGTGACCGGAGTATAGCAGCATCTTTCCTGTATCTAGCCTTTGTTGTCCAGCTTGGGTCCAATAGGTTTCGCTGATTCCCAGTACTTCAAAGTTGTATCTCCTCATTTCCGTTGCTATTTGACAGGTCTTCCCGGTCTCCCACATTGTTCGGACGTTCCATGTACCCATAAAAATTATTGCTCTGGCTTCCGAAGGAATTCGGCTTTCATCATGAGGCGTCAAATTTCTTCCAAATGAAGACGTTCTAACTCCCAGGGCAGAGTTCAAATGGTTAGATTTATTTTTTCTTGTTAGCGTTTTTTAGCGAGTTAGTTTTCTGCGGGATGGGGACGCTAACCCCATGCTCAACCCTCCTCCTTTACTCGAGCTTGGGACCGGCAGTAACTCTAGAAGAGCTACAGGTGGAGCTCGGTAAATATTTGTTCATATCTTTATCATTTACAGGCTTGTGTGAGTATGTGTGACTAATCACCAGTTAAAACTAACATATATAAACATCTTAGTAGGTTAAATGTTAATTACTTAAAGCGCGCGACGACGTACTTGAATAGTTATATGGCTGAGTATCGAAATTTCTAATCGCTGATATGTATTTGGAATTCTTCTTATTTACACTCTTATTATAAATATTGTGTTTAATAGTAATAACGTTGTTTGAATTCACCCTTGTTCGTATAAGCATCGCGTGCCTGATGAAATTTAATTTTGATGAGAGCAAATGGAAACGCTATGTGTAATAGCATGTTTTGGAGTGCTCGGTTTCGAAATCATTAATTTGTAACTGAAAATAACCTCATTGGATGTATTCAACGGAAAATCCACGTAAATATGTGTTTTCACAAATAACTATTCATCAAAATTATTTCATCATTAAATATGAGGGTAATTCACCAACTATAATGTTGACTATAGTTTATACTGTATGTTTACTTGCGAAATATAAGTTCTGGTCAGCTGGTGAGAGGTCACAATCACCAAGACTTTCACTTGTCTTTGTAAATGGCTTTATATTCGAAAAATATAAAGTAGCTTGTGTGATGTATCAAAGAAATTACTGGTATTTTTGCAGTTTCACAATGTAACTTTACTTAGAAATGTTTTTAATATTTTCACTGAATATCTACTCTTCTTTACATTGGGAAATCAAAATGTTGGAAGATTTTGAGGAAAATTACAGTCATTTAGAACAACCTTGTTATTTTTCGAAACATCCTAAATTACCCGTCTCTGTCATCAATAACATTATTAAGGATTCAAATCGTGTGTGATATACAATAAAAGTAGACCATATGAGAAATATTGTTACACTCAGTGAAGCGAAATCATCTAATATTGCTTTGTTTTGCGTTACAGGGAAATGATAATAAATCATATCTCATATCTTCCTATTTCAATGGACCAAGAGGTATATTGGATGCACCTCGATCAGATCCGGCAACAGAAGATAGATTTGCAAGCAACTATACGGCAGAATCATTGGTGAGACTCAGTACTTCAACACACAGTGCTGAGGATGTACCGATTTATGCTAATGGACCTTACAGTGAACTAATTAATTCTTCATTGGACAATACATTTATTGCGCATGCAACCATGTACTCGCTTTGTATCGGACCATACACGGATCAGTCACATTGTGACGAAGGAAACAATGGATCTCAACTCAGAGGACTTCATCTAAATAACCTTTATTATTTACTATTTCTTAGTGTTATTTTGTACACTTTCATACATTAGTGTATATTTTGTGGTATTTTGTTCAAATGATTAATTTCATGTGTTTCATGTAAGTATATTTGTTATTTGTAATATTTATCAGGTTAGATTATATAAGAATTCATCAAATGATTTATGGATATACAGACATGTATTTTTGAATTAATGTGGTGATTATATACAACTGATTAGCGTTACTTCGGTTTTCGACATTCGTATTGATGGAATAATTGCATAAAATAAGTTTTGAAACAGAAAGTCACATGCAGAGATGATGGTTAATTTTATAATTAGAATTATTTGGATTTATGTATTCACCAAGAATTCCAGAAATACTGCAATTTAAGGCAGGTAGAACTAAATGAGCACAAATGAACATAATTTATTTGAAATTCGTAATCAGTGCATAAATAATATCATTTAAATCATTAGTTCTTGCAAATACCACAGTTATGTTTTTAATATTCATAATATCTGAGCCTGATTGTTAATGAACACGTTCAAGGAATTATAGTAATTACATTTTGCTTTCTTATCATTGATGTATTTGTATAACAATTTCGTAGTTTCATCATTTAAAACAATTTAAATGCATAAACTAAACAACAAATGATCAGAAGGAGTTTAGATAATAAATCATGACAGTGATTCCGTGATTACTCATTGAATTAGTTAAGGTAAGAATCATGTTATGAGGGGAAGTAAATTAAGTATTTATGTCATTAGTTGTTATATATTTATGGTCGCTGGCATACTGAACAACTTGGGAGACGGATCAAGAAGGCTATCAAATCTGTGTGTATGAGTAAGTGTACGTTTGTAATTCCAGTTATTTGTCAAATTTGATGTATATATAACATGGTCTAAACATTTATTTGTGGTTTATTGTAGATCCTCTGTTGTTAAGAGGATGGAGTATGATTAGGCACGCTTCCTGTTTTTTGCAAGATTTGAGTATACTTATGTTTCGTACATGGCTGGTTATATAATTTTTGCTACTGCTTTGACTGATGCACACTTAATACCACAGGATGTTGAACTGACGGAAATTTTAATTTTATTATCTGATTCATTATCAGCACAATTATTTATAGTCAGATCTAAATCATCATTTTGAGAAGAATAGACATTATTTACTTATGGCTTACTTTCTTCCATATTTTGAATTTTAAGTGGTTTAGGCGAATTTATCAATGATGGCATATTTGTAAACTCGAAGACCTTTCCAAAATCAGTCTTCATTTTGTGATCTTTAGGAATCGGATACGTTTGGTACCTTGAACCTAACGATCAGTAGCTTCATCTTCCTGTCTTTTAGTGACTCAGTGTTCTATCTGGTAGAATCTTAATATCCCAGAAATTTGGTTTGTCTGATTGTATTTGACGAAGTCAGAGATTCCCTTGTGTCCAGGGATGTGTTTAATTTGAGCATTATATCTGAACACAAATCAAGGTATTTTTTTCAATCTTGTGCACACACGTGGTACGTGTGTCATATTCCTGTCCATACGCAGCTTAGATTTGGTAATTTAAAGGGCATGTGTGTCTGATATTTTAAACATGATGATCGTTAAAACACCTTCAAAGCAACATAATTCTGTAAATTATTTGTTTCATTAATCTGATTTGGAATTTCGGCGAGGTCAGGTTTGTTAAGATACTTAGGCGAATTAAGAATGCTCATGTTAGCTTGCCACTTTCTTATTTCATTCGTATAACTGAATTGACCATTGTCATCACTGTTTACTAAGAGAGTCTCCAACATGCCCAGGATGGTGACAGTTGACATAAACTCGTCTGTTTCTGATTGAAGGTGGTAAGTGCCTGATCGATTGACGAAAAGGTGTTGAAACAGAAAGAGAGTTGTCATATACTTCGGAAATCAAGTCCCATGTTTGAATCAAATGTGGGGATATAGTGAGCAGTAATGAAGATGACAAATGCAAGATAGTGAACTGGTAGAAAAATAGTAGTAGAGATGTAGTATGTAAATATATGTTTAGATCTAAAATAGAACAAAGATATACATGTTTGCAAAATAATAATTTGGAAATTTCATGAAAAGATGTACTCTATGTATCAGGGTGATTTCAGATTGTCTACATCCTGGATTAAAGGAACAAAATGAGTAGTGTATGTGGTACATATATAATATGAAATCCAACATTAGTTAAATTTGAAGAGTGTAGCTATATGTAGTTTTGTCAGCATATATTGTTATTTAGAATTAACGTGACATTTTTTAATCAAAATGTGTGAAAAGACTTTTAATTAAAACACTGAAAACTGTGACAGACTCATTAAATGAAACCTTTAATTTCAGAAAGTGTGTAAATTATGACATCAAGGTACAATTTAAGGAGTTGTTTGTACATCTAGGTTATAATTCTTCATCATTTATGACCATATATGCTTTGAAATTGCTAGATTAAAGTCTATTGTGTTTACAGTCGATGTAATAACAGCAACCATCTACCAAAGTGAACTATAGTTCTGTATTGTCTCACCATTCGATGGTATTAGACCTCCTGTTCGTGGTTGGGGACTTACTAAGTGAACCTTCATAGCCACTTTTGTAAGAACTTTGAGAACTTTCAGTTTTCTTAGTATTTCAATTTCTAATTCTAATCTTACAGAATGTGCTTAGTAATATTACTACCTTGGTTTTATTGCACCCATTTTACTGATCACTCATCAATTTTACAGATAATATAAACCATTTGTATTTACTTCCACTTTCAATCCCTTTTCCTACTTTTACGCAACTAGTCGTGATGACTAACTAACTATGAGACTTCACCGTAATTGTAACTTCAAAACGCTGTACAATTGATTATTATGTTGTTCAATTAGCTCGTCACCGACTTGCTACTCATTTTAAAAGCCTGTATATCAGTATAAAGACCTGATAAACTGACTGAAAATAAGTATTTTTGCTCAGATTATGTTTGAAATATCTTAATGGAAATATATGACGAGTAGAAATTTTGACACGCAATACTGGTCGGTATGTCTGTGTGTTTCACTTAATGACTGTAAATCCTTTAATGATTGTACTAATCTAATTGTTTTTACGTTTAAAAACAAATAAAGTTTAAAGTCAAGTTGTCCTTGTTCTGACTATAGCTTTCACATAGATTCTGGGGTCTCCAGTATCGCGTTCACAGTTCTATTAGTATATCTGTAGGACACATTAAATCATACAGACATCTTAAATCTCTGAATCTTTGCTGATTGGAGAAGGATATTTATAGGCTACCTTTGAATATAACATAGTACCCTAAGGATTCCTGTGCACATTGTGAAATTTTTACTAAGTCTCATTTCTAACAATAGTCTGAGGCAGTCTTTAAAGATCAGAAGTACTACATAGGAAATCGAACTGTGGACACATTTCCTACTCATTTCAAGTATTCAAGTCTTGAAACTCGAGACTAGCTGGTGCGGTCCAAGCAACCACCTGGGAGTCTTTCAGGTGGGAACTCGGTCTATTCTTAAGGAGTCAGGACAGAATTTCATTCTGATCTGTTTATACTTTACCATTGTTTGTATAACATGCGTATGCCCCCATCTAGACGCTTCCGTGATCAATAATACCAGATATGGAAGACAATGATACCATGGAATTGTGATACTATGTAACGATACTATATTATTACTATGTTTTACGTTGTTAAAAACAAACTAATTCTTACTTCATTTTGGAAGGCATTTGATGATTATAAAACAGTGGAAAGAGATTGTTTCTTTTGGGTTACATGGTGTCAGATTTTACGTTAGTTCGTTATTGAAGCACTGTCGATTGGTCCACTCGAAACTTCCGACTCAAATAATAAAACAACCGAATACCAGTTCAAGTACCAAAGTTTATTCGCAACTCACAAGTCTTTATAACTATTATAACGACTCCACAATAAGCTATTAAGTTATGGGTTTCCTGAGCAAAACATCGAGAAACCATAATTTTCGATGTCAAAGTTACACACAAACAAGTTGGAAATTCGGGTGAAACAAGTGTATCCGAAAGATAGTGAAATTATTGATATTCAATATAACAGTTTTCAACAAGCCAAGTACTTTTGGTATTTTAGTATAACACACTACATCTCAAAGTACTGATAATTCATCATACATTTCTTCACAGACCACTTTTTTTCAGTACAGAGTTGCAATAAACAACAACCTTAACCCAGGAGTTCAGTGGAATTCAGTTAACGATTTCTTTTCTCACGGCATCACGTGGATAGAATGCATACCTTTATGAGCATAACATTTCTGTCAAGAATAAAAAGGTTTTTCACTGATCATCAAATTTTCTATTTGAACCTGTTTTAACAATTTGACTTGCTTTTCCTCTCAATATAAATTAATAAAGAAGATATCAACTTTCATCACGAATACAATGGTGAGCCAGTCTTTAAATAAGGTAAACTACTGTCATAAGTTTTATGATTTCATTCCACACTTATTTTTTTCGTCCCTGTACTTGCCTAATTTTGCTTCCTCTCAATGTTGTTTAGCGTTCGAAGTTTACTAACTAGATCGATCGATCCAAATAACTATTCGACCAGGATAATAAATAGATATCATGGTTCCTTATAAGCATTATCAGCTTGTAGATGCATAAGACAAGATCAGCTATCTATTATGAAGTCACTATCCTAATTCTTTATATTATACACCATTTTCCGTCACGAACTCTGAACTGAACGTTTTAAGACATAACTAATGCCTGCTCTACCACTAATTGCCAAGTTTGATGGTCAAACAGAAAACACCAGTACCAGCAGTTTACAGTGAGTTCGGACTACAAATTTCCTGCACTCTTAGGTTTCGTTTAGATTGTCCATACAGTCAATTCTGCGTACCTGGACTTTATTATTTTTGAACTTATACAAATCCAGTCTATGATGCTGTACTAATACAAAATTTAAATCGAAGATACTATGCATCTGACCGGTATTACCATGGATTTATATCGGATTAAGTGAGTATCCGCTTGAAATCTTCATTATATAAAG